TGAAATAATTCATTAATTCGTCTAGATGATCGTCTCTTTTTGTGCTGTATCTACTGTTGGGAATGAATTTGGCGAAACATATATTCACATCCTTCTTATGAAGATGATACAGAAGACCCAAGTATTCTTCGGGTACCTATTTAGAAAAATTTTCAAACTTATTTTTTTTTGTAATCCACTTTGAAATTATTGTTACAAAGATAGCTCAAACTGTATTGTCTATGTCAACGGGTATCAATTCGTCACTTTAGAAAACATGTCTGTTATCTACCTGCATTCTGGTGTCCAGAGAATGATTAGGATTAACAATAATATCGATTGAATATCTAGCTGTGAGTCGTCGCCAAGTTACTGAAGCCATGAACGATTGGACTTTCACCATTGCATGGGTACAACATTTGTTGACACATGTCAAGCAGAAAAGAGCGACTATGATGAGCAAACAATCGTACCAAATGTTGCCTGTCTTGATATTTGCAATGAGTGGTTGAGTAACGTAGAATGATAAATCCATGATTGTTGAAAAACTATTCTTCTGAAGAGTGTATCACATTCAGTGCCTTTTTATAGTTTAAAAATGAAATATTTTGGCATTGTTTTAGATATAGCATTTGTTAGTCGGAGAATAAAAGCTGTGAAAGCGGACTCTGTTGAACTAAAGATATTGTTTTCTCTGACGGATACAGGAGAAAATTTGACTGAATAAGTCAAATATATGTCGAGCATGCACATTCATCGCTGCCATCTGCAAAGAATTGTTTCTACTCATCATAACTTGTCGATGCTGACGTTTCGCCAATAAAACGATTCTTTTTTGGTTGTACATAATGAAACAACCAAGATGTATGAAATATAGGTAAAACATAAGTTACGAATTTCTAAATATTTAGTCGATAGGGCCAAGAACGTCATCGTTTTTTCAAAAAATGATTCGAATTCAATGAAATGTGGAATGCTAGTACTAGTAAATGAGATACATTTACTATTAAACTTTCACTTCGATTTGACTTATTAAATACGATTTATAATGAAAATAGGATTTAGTTTTGTATGGTTCTCAAAAAGATTATCCTATTTTTAAATTCCATATAGTACGAAAAAAAATCGCAGCATATATACTTAGATACAGCATCGAGAGTGTGGATGTGAATTTATGTCATCCTCAACTTCACTCATACTTTCAAAGTCATGGTATGGAGATTGCTTGAAAAGAGATTAATCAAGAAATACGTGAAACGTTGACGGAAACTGAAAGAAAGAACATATTGACCAATCATAACATAATTCGGTCAACAGTTTGTGAGTGTTTTGGGGAATTCTTCCTCTTCCGAAGATTTTTCTTCTTTCATTGGTTAATGTTGGATATGAAAAATATTGATGTAGAATCGATAGTTTCTGTTACAGAAAATCGTGAATAACACTTAGATTTGTTTTGAGGGTGTCAGTGTGGGTGTTGATTGAGTGGAATTAAATATATTCACACTCATATTTCGACGAAACTTTTTTCATTTTGGGAAAATTTTCAAACAAATATTCTTTTTGGAGAAATATTTTTTCAAATAATTCTCTGCGAATATTTATTCTAACAAATCTATGCATATTCTTTGGATTGTTTCCTTGTTTACGTAAAATTCTTTATCTCTCGCAATGACTCCCAATGTTCTTCAATTATAAATCGAGACAACATAGTTCTCACTTATTTTTATCGGCATATTTTAAAGAAATTCTTAGAATTTATTTACCTATTTTACTTATCATTCATACAAGTTGCCACACTTATGTAAAATAATAAGTAATTATTGAGATACTACAATATTCTTCGAAAAAATTTATATCAATTGAAACTATTTACTTACTATTCAAGTGACATTTTGTTTCCGAAGAAAAATTTTCATAGCAAAAAAAAAATGAAACGAAACAGCATAGAGAATTTATTTTCTGTCTAATATGACAATAACACGGAAAACTATTTCATGTATCTAATGATTACAATTATCATCTTGTTTTCTGTATGATCCTCAAATTAAAGAGAAAATAAATCCTATGAACTAGTCGATTTTTGTTTCATTTTGAATTTTCTTTGGAGAAGAAATGTCAGTTGAATGGTTAATAAATAATTAAAACTGAAATACATTTCTTGAAAAAGATTCAATTATCCGAAAAATTATGTTTTTTTTCTCTTATTATTTCAGATCAATATTAAAATAATTCTTTTTGATTAAGAATCTTCAATGTTTACGATATAAGAAAAGAATGTAAACCGGTTATACCAAAATCTTTTGTTGGCTTTTTTTTCGTAACAGTTTTTCTTTTTAATGTTTCTTTTTTCGTTTCAATTTCAGCTTGGAATTTTCGGCCACTTTGTATTATGTTCGTCAAATTTCGTTTTTATTATTGGAATAGCTAATGGAAGTTTTTCAATATTTTTTATTTAATAAATAACGATAAAATACATTCAAACATAATCAAAATATGCATATGCTTCAAGCATATTGTTGAAAAAAAAATAAAACGTTATCCTGCATTTAAAGTTTAATAGATTAATAAACAAAAATGTGAATTTTATATATATAATTATAAATACAGAGGACATTCCAAAAGTAATGACAGTAGTACTTTAGTTCCTTATAAAAACTTCAAAGAAACCTTCTCTCTATTTAGTCTGATAGAAAAATGAATACTCTATTTTTCTATTATATGGAATGATTATATTAAAGTCTATTAAGTTGATAGTTTGTGGATAACATTTAATAGAAAGAAGATAAAGAGCTGCAGTTTTCACCTTTCGAAAGAGGAGATGAGGATGACCGAAGCATGCATTATGTGCTTTTCTAGTAAATTGTCTAATCTTTGTTTAAACAATTTTTGAAGTGTGGAGACAATAGTTTCTTATAACAAAAATAAAGAAAAAGGAAACAATACATTTTTTACAGAAATTGTTAGAAAATCACTTAAAGCTTCGGCAAGAATACATATAACTTCTAAATGAATACACACCTGACAACTAAGAACTCACTGTAAACACCTCAGTGGGTAGGTTTGTGTTCAAAGAAGCTTATTGAAAACCTTAAAAAGTCATGTGAAAAAATCTATAGCATACGATTCGATTATCCTCATCACCTCTTTCGAACGACGAAAGGGTGTGGTTGTGGGTAATGCGAATGTCGATGTTTTTGAACCCACACCTACCATGGGCGGCGCAAGCTCAAGTGTTTAGGAGGAGCAATGAAGTTTTACACAAGTCTATTTTGGCTTCCCTCCACTTCTTTCTGCAATAATGAAGAGCATGGCAGTAAAACTTTTGTCGTTTGAATATTATATTTCTCAAAGACAATACGTGAAAGTTTGAGCATAAAATCACCTGATAGTTCATAATGAGCTTCAAATTAGTGTAATACTTTATTGAAAAAGGATCTTCTCAAAAAAGAATCAGGAAAAATTCAAGTCCTTTTTATCTTCACCTTCAGTTCACTGACTATTGCGTTCGCAAATGAATACTCATGTAAAAAGTTGCCTGAAATTTAAAGAATTTCTCTTTTTGAAAATTTTCATAAGCGTAACAATCAACTACAAAGATAGAGATGTTATTTTTCAGATTTTTAAGAATTAATTGTTAGCAGCTAGCAGATGTTCTCTTTCATTGTGAAATAATAGGTAAATTTGCTTTTTTGAAAAGTTTTAATTTTACATTTTCAAACTCTAAATTGTAAATTTTGTTTAAACAAATTAAAAAGTAATGCTCATATTCTGCCTATTTTTATTACTAGAAGATAGTATAGAAGATTAGTTATTGCGTTTCATCTGGTCAACGTTGGTTAATTGGACTTCATTCCTTTTGATCAAAGTAGTTAGGTATCATTTAGTCAGTCTTTGAAAGGCAAGATTCGAATATTTCCTGAATCTATTCGCTACAGAGGAAACCGGATATGGGTAAAGGACGATGGAAACGGTATGTGTGGGCGTCAGCGTCAATGAAGATCTGAGTGTAGGTGTGGGTATGGGGTGCGGGTACGGAAGAAGAGAACAACGAAATTCGCACCCACACCCACCATTTTTATCATCTTGAAGGTATTCAAATAGATACATTTTATAACGAAGAGACATTGATTTCTAGTGAGAATATATCTCGAAAAAATTTGTAGTTTAACAAATCTTTTTATCAGATACAAATGTTCGTTTTTGAAATTGACTAATAGGTTTGAATTTCTTGTCTACTGTTGTTGTCTTTGAAAATTTTCATGATAACGTCTATCAAAAGTTCAGAAAGTTTCTTTTGTAGAATTTAGACATTGTCATTACAGATGAGCACAGAACAACTGTTACTTGACTATCTTGCAATTAAATTCCATCCTACTGAATATCAAGTCAAGGAAAAATATTAAGCGAAATAAGAGCAATACCTTTTGCTTTCGATTAAGTCAAATAAATATTTAAATCCTCAGTGATCTTATAAGCAATACACATTTCATAAGTTTTTCAAATATTGCAACTGAATTCTTGGATAATGGTTCATTTAATAAATACAAAAAGAAAAATAAGTACCATAAGTTATTAACAATTCTTCTGTACACTAAAAATGATTTTAAGGAAAGAAAGATAATTTTTCGATTTTTCTGGTTAGCACAACATTGCATGTGGGTGAGAGTATAGCATTGAACCGGTAATATCCTTTTCCTTTTAGAAAGTCTCAGTTACAATGTTCTTCGGTATACACGGTGGAATACCAGTTAAAAGAATATCGGGTCATTCACCAATAAAAGTATATGAAGAGAAACACTGTGAAGTCTAATTTGCCGATTGAATAGATATGAAATCTAACGGCAATAGACAGTTAACATTGTCTTTTTGACTCATTTAGATGTGTCAGAATGGTCGGACGTTCATTGTTCAATTGAGTATATAAATAGCATGATGAATTTACAGATATCGTTCATATCTTATTAACAGCTATTCTCGTAAGAAAAATTATTTGTTGAGAAGCAATATTTTTATCAATAACCATGGAGAATTGGTTTTATATGAATCGAATGACATTTGAAGATGTTCGTAATGATGAGCTAGGTGTAAACCTTACTGAAAAATTATTATCAATCGGTTTTGACCTGCCAGTATCATTTCTGATTGGTGAAACATCAGATGAAATATTAATAAAAATTCAACAAACATATAGTCGTGAAGTTTGTGGTAAAATAATTTGTAATGAAAATTGTGTATTATGTTCATTTAACCCGCCAACTTATGCAAAATTAGCTTGGTTTGTTCAACGTTTACTTATTATGAATCCAATACGTAAAACTTTTATTAAACCAGAAGTATTTCCAACATTATTAAAGGAAGACTTTTCATTTATGAAAGATAAAAATGTAACAAATCATATCATAATTTCTTGTGATTCTACTGAAGAAAATTCATTAGCTGTTAGTGAAGATGAAAATGATAGCAATATACGAAGTCAAGTAAGTTTTCAAATATAATTTTTGTTAAAGTATTACATTGATAATTATTTTCCATTTAAAGGATTCAAATGATAATCGTTTAAAACATGACTGTTGGGCAATTATAATGCCAATCATATTCTATATTATTCTCTTTGTCATTGGTTTTTGGGTTTCCAAAGCTTGAACAATTTATATTACAGCGATTTATTTTTTGAAACATACAAAAAACAAAAAATGTTCGCATCATCTTCTGTTATTAATTAAAGAAAAGTATGGTTTGTTTTGCTTCTATGTAAATTGTGATTATTTTTACCAAATAAATTTTTTCTATGCCATATTCAATAAAATCTATTCAATTAACCGTTTCAAAAGCATCAAATTTCGGTTTACTAAAAAAAAACAAATTATTTGGGCTTTCTAGGATATGAGTCTAGCAGAGAGAAGTCAGACATCCATACGCACTTCCATACCCACTTGGTAAATTTGCAGCACTACAATAAGATATCCTAGTTTAGAGTGTTAGTATGCAAACTATCCACTCGTTTTTGACATCTGAGCAACTTATGTACCTTTCATACATGACGGGCGGAAGAATTGCAACAAGTTGCTATTTTGAAAATGCTGCTTAAGACCAACCTTATTTGAGAATTTTTCGAAATATATGTCAAAGGAACAAAACGATCATTAGAAATTTTTGGAAGTCCAGATGCATATGACTCGCTTTTTACTTTCGGAGGTTATTTATGGATGATCTCCCTAATGAAACTCTTGAATGAGTTTTAAAAAAAACAAGGTGTGGGTGTGGATATTCATTTGCATGTCGTTTTGAATAATAGCTCATACCCACACTAAAAGCCTTGATTTCTCAACTATAGCAGTAAAAAGCTTTGATTGATATATTTCATTGAAGTTGCTCATCATAGCCACATTCTGACATCTTCGCCTTACAGTCTCCTTGGCCCGTGTCTACTGTTAACTTTTGATTTTGTACCTGATATCGCTAAATATGATGGTTTTACAAAAACAAAACTATTTTTCCGTTCAAGAAACAGTTCACTTTTTAATGGATAAAGTTTTTCCATTCATACCAATTGATAATTGCGAATGAGCTTCTTTTGTTTTAAATATGTTTTACAATCAATGATTCTCGAATTACTCAGAAAATCTATAACCATTTTTGAAAGCTTTTTTTCACGATAAGGACATAGAAATAAATGTAACATTCAGATGAATACAGCGAGAAATCCATTCCTTCAAAATTTCAAAATGAATCCATCACTACCTAACTTTTCCCCCATTCAGCTACACGCATATTTATTCTTTCATAGTGAATTTAGTTGACAGAAATTCACTTGACTGACACATTGACTAGCGGTATCAGGATTTCTATTAATTGAAGTTTGTTTTTTCAAGACACACAAACACATTGCGGAATAATTTCTAAGACACTTTGTGTATTCTGATGCTTTTAAAATTGCTACTCTGTTCTTCTCTGATGAATTTCAATCACATTCAATGTTTCTAGAAACAGACAACTAGAAGCTAGTACAACTATCTTTTATAGCTGTGTTTTTAAAAACGAAAGCATTGGGACTTAATATGGAATCCGACAACGTCTTTTTCGTAGGACTCTACAGAAATGACAAGATGAGCTAAATAATCGAATATTCAATGCATTTCTTGTCTTAACGGCAACGTTTCTGTGAACATAATTTTATTGCATTTCTTTTCTTAGCTGAGAATAAATCGACGACTACACGACTGTCAATGACATCAACGATGTCTCAGCTTCCTTTAAGTGGACGGATGCGTTTCTTGTTGATAACAGCAAATGTGATCAGTTGCAATGTTGCTGCCTCATCGGTAACATGATACTCACACGTCCAACGTCCACCATTCTTAATATTTTTTCCATACTAAATGGTCAATGCGGTGCAACAGCATCTCCATGGACAATGTGTATGGCTTATGCAGTTGGTTTTTATGTATCGTTGACATTGTTAAGTGCTACAATCAATATCTTATTGAGTTCTGACAGCAAACTAGAACGCTGACAAATATGGATAACGATGCATGCAATGAAATGGTTACACGGTTGATTTCCATATGGACTGGAAACTTCGTCGCTACTTCAAGGAGCTGTTCTTCATCACAATGCTGCTGCTGCATTACTGGTACTGCTGTCATCAAGCAAACAGCACTGATCACTTATAATATCTCGGCTGCAGGGAGTGGTCACTGTAATGCGACAACAAATATGGAGACAACATTCACCAGTAATGTAACGTTTATGACTCCAATCAACTCTGCATGCGACTAAACAGCTACTCGAATAGTAGTCCTGCCATCAAATGGCTCAACTACTGAGCGATCAACGACCTTCCAACAATCGACTTCAACTACTGGGCAGTCAATCACTTCTCTATCATTGGTTTCAACCACTAGTCAGTTAACAACTTCTCTGGAAACAGTTTTAACGACGCTTCAGCAACCTTCATGACCAGGTACCTTCTCCGTTGCTGGCAATTGTCGTCAATCACAATGTTGTTGTCCCACTGGTAAAATTGTTATTATGGCAACATCATCCAACACTCTCAGCTTCTCATTGACATTTATCGCTTCACTGTTCAGTTTCAGATGTCTTGGCTATTCAGGTTCCAATACATTCTCTGTTGCTTATCCAAATGGTTACAACATAACAATGTCAATATTATTTACTGTCTATTCTTTTTCATTGAGCTCTGATGGCAGCACTATAACGTTGACAAATACTAGTAATAATGCGTACAACGAAAGGGCTACTCGAGTTGAAGTTGGCCGTTACGTAAAACAAGTAAAACTCGCTATACCACTCTAGCTTTTGTTGTCTCCTTCTCCTGTACACATTTTCAATAAATACATTCTTCTTAATATTGTGGACTCGCTTCATTAACCATAAACTTATGAATTAATTGATAAGAAATAGGTCATACTTTTGTCATCGCTCGATCACGATGCTTTTCAGAAAAAAATGAATTCATGGAAACTATACTACAGTTATTTCATGTAAATTATTAATACATAAGTATACTGTTTGAGAACGTCCAGATAATAAATTGATACTGGTATATAGCTCTTGGTAGTCCTAGTAGAGGCGGAACTATTTGAATATATGAGATCAATCACATTGTCGACCTTCATCATTCTAATTTCACATGAGGAAAATCGTACGGTATGGCGTTTAGACGCTGGCTTTTACAAAAAGTCGTTACTCTTGCGTTTAAATACATCGTTTTTATTTATTTTCAACTCTTTTAAACACAATTTTCTTTTAATTTCAAGGCATTTTAGCTCACTTTTTTGTTATTTACAATACGGTTTTTCAATTTAAAATTTCATTTAAAGAGTCACGTGAACATATTTATGAGATACGGTTAACTTTATTTATCAAACATTTTAACACGTCTTCTTAGCGTCATGCTACTAAAAATGACGAATTTTTCACTACGCGTTACATTGCTGTATTTAGACAATGTTTTTTCTTTGAAAAATGAGCTGTTCCACACAAAATTTTAATGAATGTGGGATACACATATTTTGAGTAAAAAAGATTGCTCATGAAATAAAAGTCTATTAACATGTTGGAAAATATTCCGTGCTATGTCACTCAAAAATAAATCGTTTTAAACAGGATTGCTCTCATTATAAACACATGACTGAAGCACAGCGGAATGTATTGGCATATCAGAAAAGAATTAGTTGTGTACAATAAACTCGACAAGACAATTGAATAAAACAAGAGTGCAGTGTGGGTCTCATTTTGAATGTTGCTTTTAACGGTTTGTTCCTCAAACCCACACCTACAACATAGATGGGGGTGAATGAGCACCAATTGATTGCAGGGATAGACTTTTCTCTCACTCAACCAGTACACAAATGGTTAGAGGATTAAAACTTGTGTAGCAGATCATTGTTGGATTTGCATTGAGCTAATTTAAATGGTAAGTAAGCATAATGCCATCGATGAAACAAAATAAAATGATGGTGCATTCTATACAAAGGCATCTGAGCGCTATCTGATGAACGGTATGGTAACAGTAAGAAACCTTGCTAGGTTCGTTGTACTATTACACAAGCTTCAGAATAGTAGCGTTAGATAAAGCTTAAAAAGCAAATGAGAAAAGAACATTACATTCATCATATGTGGACTCTGGTTTATAAGATATAGTTTGAAACAATACTATTATCTGGCTATTAAATGTTGGTACAATGTACTTCATATGATACTTTAGTCATGTCTTAAAACTCTGGTTCTGATTGAAATGCTAATTGAACAGAATTGTAATTTTTAGCAGGGAAAGTCTTTCCTAATTATCTCATTTTATTAAATAAAATTTGCAGCGTCATACAAATAAAAGAATCTCCATCTTTCTTAGTGTCAAAACCAAATAGAAGAATTTGATCGCAAATAACAATCATAAACAATAATTCAATATTTTTCAATATCTTTTTTGGATTAATACTGCTAGCTTACAACCATTTTGTTTGTCTATTCAATGACTGAGTATATTTATATACAAGAATGAATAGAGAAATTCATTGAAACAATTGAAAATATGCTTAGATGTAGGCATTTTCTTTCTTGACATATAATTAACATAATTACAACAATATATTAGTGCTATTCTCTAGTTATAAATATAGCTGACAAAAGTGTTCAAGTATTATCACCTGGTAGATTTTTATGAGTACACCATTATATTATTCACCTCATTCTTCAAGTTATCATAAAGAACTTTCCGTCTGATAGTTAACGGTCGAATTTATTTATTCTAGTGAAAAAGTAAACGTTTTTATCTAATTATTATAGACTTGCTATTAAGTATAGTAGCTAAAATCGAATAAAAAAATATCAGCCATGTGAATGCTTGTTAGAATATTATCTACTTCGTACAATGATTAAATTTTAATCAGAAAATAAATGCCAAAGAAAATTATCAATCTTGCCAAAATGCGACCATCAATGATTCAGATCATAAATCGAAACTAAATCAATGAGATGACCTTATGTATACTTCAAATTATTTGTGGTACACCTATTTTGAGAGCAT